AAAATTGAATTTAACAATAACAGGAGGCTTTCCCAGTAGTTTTCTTTTTTTCTCTGCGTAGAGGAAGGAGCTCTGATGGATTGGTCTGAAGGGAGTTGTGCTCCTAAGCCAAAGACCATGCCTCTCTGCAGTTCAAGTCCCCCAGTGATTGCTCAAGGAGAAGGTGGACAGTCTCCATGCAACTCAGAGTCTCGGAAGCCCGGTGGAGGGTCAGCTATGAGTCAGCTCCCACTCTACAGCAATGAACTGTGACAGATAGGAGTTTATGTGCGCATCTCGCTGCTATGGTGTCAATTCCAGCTCATAGTGAGCATGCAACATCTCTGTAGAACAGAATTGTCCCATAGGGTTTCCAAAGCAGCGATCTTTACAAAAGCAGACTGCTCCATCCTTCTGAGGAGCAACTGGTGCGTTCAAATTGCAGATCTTTTGGTAGCAGCTGAATGCTCAAACACCATGCCACCAGCTCCCCTGTGCGTACATACAAACACACAATTTTGAGCTCATTTTACTTTACGTAAGTGGGATTATACTGTATGAGCTATTCTGCAGCAATCATTAAATGTGACAAGACCTTTGAAGATCTAGCTATGTTCATCTCCTAGAGCTCCCATGTCCTAAACTGCTACGGAGTGTTGTCTAGAAGTGTGCCACATGGTTCTGCTGTTATTCATTCCCCTGAGATGCTAAGTATTAAAACTAGTGTCTGTGGACACGTGATGCTTGTGTTGTTTTAGGTTTTATATGTTATTTGAATTGGTAGGTTATTTTCTGAGCCTGTTCTTGTGAGGTGCTGTCGAGTTAACTACAACCCATAGCGATTCTATGAACAACAGAATTTATGAACTTTGCCCTGTCCTGTGCCATCCTCATCATTTCTGATGGACTCAAGCCCACAGTGACAGTCACTGTGTTAATTCATCTTGTGAAAGACCTCCCTCTCTTACTGGTCCTCTGCCTTCCCAGCATGAGGTCTTTTTCCCAAGTACTGACAACATGCCCAAAGTATGTGAGATGAAATTTTGTCATCTTTGTCTTTACAGAGCACCCTGATTGCACTACCTCCAAGACAGATGTGCTTGTTCTTTTGATAGTCCTTAGTATATTCAACAGTCTTGGCCAACGCTACAATCAAAGGCAAGCATTCTTTTTCTGTCTTCTTTATTTGTCCAATTTTCAGATATACAGGAAGCCATTGAAAATGGTACACATGCAATTGAATGACATCAAGTCCACCTGAGTCTATAAACTGACATCCTTGCTACTTAGGGGGAAAAAAAGAGAGAGAGAGAGGTCCTTGACAGTGGAACATGTCTTGTGATTTCTTGATTTCTCCATGCAACATGTCTTTTATCTTCTTGACTGCTGCTACCATGGTAGTTGATTGTGAATTCAAGAAAAATGATGGACCCCCCTGAGGAAGTAGAGACTGACGGTGGGAACCAGTTCGGGGACAGAAATGATGGTCCAGTGTGAAGTGGATCAGCTTGAGCTGAGAAGATGAAATGGTGGTGACCTGAGTGACTTAAGGGTCTAAAGCCAGTAGGAGATACTAGGGGAGCATTCTAGGCTTTGGGATAATACTCTGAATTTGTGTTGGACCTCAGTGGCAAGGGATACCAGATACAGAGTGGTCCTAAAGGAGGTAAGCACCCTCTGTGGATAGCAAGGTTGAAACAGCAGTCTGAGAGCTCTGTGCCTCACCCAGGGAAGCGTACAGGGCCCAGGAGGTGTCGTCACAGACACAGAACAGCCTTTTCCTCAGAGAGGATTACTGTAGTTGTTAGAGGTAAGAGCAGATGCATGTGTAAGAACAGAGCAGAGAGCACCTAGGCTGGGCTGGGCCTTCAGAAGCCCACACTGCTGATGCCCCATCATGTTCTCAGCACCTGAGAAGTAAGGGGAGGGATGCTCACCTGTGAATAACAGGCACACCTCAGATATTACAGGTTCCTTTCTGGACGACCTCAGTGAAGTCACATGGAATTTTCCCCCCAGCACCTATAAAATCTGTGTTTACACAACAGAACAGGAACCAGTGTACAGAGCTGCTATAAATAGGGTTGCTATGGGTTGCAGGCAACTCAGTCGCACATAACAACAACAGGAAGTGTGCAATAGCTTTATGAAAAAGTTTGCAATCTTGGCAGCTGGGAAGGAGTGGGATTCTGGAACACCATGTCCTCAGCTCTTTGAGTTCCTTCTCTTAGTTCCAGTGAGGGTGTGGAACACAGGCTTGGGAAAAGTCACTGAGGTGCTGGGTTCCCCGAGGGACCTTCTTAGAGGAAGGACAGAGGTGACTGGGCCACCAGAGCTCCACACTTCTAATGGCACTTTTTTTTTTAATTTTTTTTTCTTATTTTTGTGTGAGTGTACCGTCAAATCAGATCTGACTGGTACAGGAGGAGATGGTCCCTCCTTCCCCGGCAGAGCATCTGGTGGATTCAGACTGTGAGCCTTTGGGATTGTAGTTGCAGCTCCTTGCCACTAGGCCACCAGAGCTCCCCTAATGGCACGTTTGATGCTGGCTGGCTCTTTATCCCATATCTCCTTTCTTTTATCTTCTGTCTCACTGATCTGTGTTCTAGCTCTTCCATTCGGTTCTTTTGTCCCTTGCATATATCTGTACTTTTTTGCTAAATTACATTGTCATGTTTTTCTATTGTTTCTAGCATCCCATTAGATGCATCTACTTTGTCTTAAAGTGATTTGGAGTTTTTTTTTAAATTTTATTGGTTTACATATAATTATTAGTATATCTCATGTTTTGTATATATATTTTGTGTGTTATGCAGTAATTGGTGCATTTGAGAACACTTTGGACAGGGACCCAAATTTCACCAGAAATTCACCCTGGAATGTGGGATCCTTTGGGATCAGGTCATCCACACCCCAAGAAGTTCTGGGTTAAAGCCAGCTTCCTCTCCATGAAGCAACCATTCCTGGAGCTCCAGGTGCACGCTGCCAGACACAACCCGCAGAGTAGGGTGTCCACCCCACTCACACTGGTGGGCAGGCCACAGTGCAGAGAAAGGGACAGGCCCACTCTCCGAGATCTCATTGTACACCAGGAGAGAAGACCTACATGTGACACAGAAAACAATTCAGAGCTGACCACAGTCCTTGTAGACAAGGAGTAGCCTTGGGATTCAGCAGGGGAAATGGCTCCTTCCCAATGCGGTGGAATAGCCAGGAAAGGGGAAGGTCGGCCTGGGAAACAGTCACTGCTTGCTTTTCTATGGCAGTCAGAGCCGTAGAGTCTGGGTCTCAGTTCTCCTCCTCTATGAAAAAGAAACTCTTCCTCTGTCATAAACTTTCGTGAGACATGAGATAGTACATAGGGACATGTCATGTAAACTGTAAAATCCTTTAAAGGCTTTGGTTGCTTTGCCCTCTAAGTTTATGGCTAATTTCAATATGGAGAAATAAAAAAGCCTCACAGGAAAACCAATATGCAACATCATGACAAATGGAGAAAAGATTCAAGTTGTCAACTCTTTCATTTTACTTGGATCCACAATTAACAAGCATGAAAGTAGCAGTCAAGAAATCAAGACATGTTGCCATGGGCAAATCTGCTGTTAAGGACCTCTCCAAAGTTCTAAAGAGCAAGGATGTCAGCTTAAAGACTAAGATGTTCCTGACCCAAGCCATGTTCTTTTCCATTGCTTCATAGGCATATGAATGTTGGGCAGTAAATAAAAAAAGACCAAAGAAACTCTTCTACATTGTTGGTGGAATTGTACAGTGGTATAACCATCTGAAATGCATTTAGTGCTTTTTCAAAATGCTGAACATAGAAATTCCATATGACCCAGCTATTCCACTGCTTGGCATATATCCTGAGGAAATGAGAACTGAGGCTCAAACAGAGACTTGTACACCAATGTTTATAGTGTGTTATTCACCATTGCAAGAATGTGGAAACAGCTCAAATGTCCAACCACAAGAGAATGAATTGAGAAATTATGGTACATTCACATGATGGGATACTACGCAACATGCAGGAGCAATGATTTTGTAAATTACAACCTAACTGGGGAGGGACTAGAGAGCATTATGCTGAGTGAACTAGCTCAGTCTCACAAGGACAAATACTGTATAAATTGTAGAATGAGTATGCAGATCCAAGGGGGAGGTGGAAGGAGAGGGGTGAGGATGGGTGGGGGGTGAGGTGTTAATCATAGGGTCGCACAAAAGGGTGGAGTAAAGGAAATGGGAAGGATCTTTTGTGAAAAAAAATGTATTTAAACTTTGTCAATAAATCAGTATTAAATTTTAAAAAGAGAGAGAGAAATCCTAAAACAAAAACAAAAACAAACAAACAAAAAACCCAGAAAAAAACCCACAAAACAAAACCCAATGGAGAAGGGATGGCTTTGAATTGTACGGTTGGCAAAGAATATCGTATATCCCATGGACAGCCGAAAGACCAAACAAATCTGCTTTGGAGGAAGTACAACCAAGGTGGTCCTTAGAAGGAAAAACATCAGCTCAAACATTTTGTTCCTATTGTCAAAGGGGTCAGTACTTGGGGAGGGGGGAAGGGCATCAATTTTGGAAAAGTAAAGAGTCAATGAAAAGACCCTCAACAAGGTGGATTGATTCAGGGATTACAGCAATGGATTTGAGCATGAAGGAAATTGGGAGGATATAATTTCGTCCACTCATAGCGTCAGAGAAAGAGATGCAGTCCACTAGTGCCCACAGTTTCCTCTGGCCTTCTCAGCTCCTCCCCTGCAGGGCAGTTGGGCAGGGGAAAGGCAAATTCTCTGCAGAGATGTGGGGCTGTGTGCAGGCACAGGGCGGAGCCTCTGGGTCAGAGTTCCCCTACAGCTCAAGTTGCTACCTTCCTCCCTTCAGGGCCTGGCTTTCCCTAGGTCTCCTAATTGTCAGCATTGGTCTTCTTGACCTTTCTCACAATTTCTACCTCAGATAAGCCCAGGGAGCTAAGCAGAACCAGAGCCAACTCCTGGCTTCCAGAGCCCACTAGTACCCACATGGCCTCGGCAGTCCTCTTGCTTCCGCTGATGTTCTCAGGTGAGGAGGGGAGAGGGATGGGGTGGAGCAGGACAAGGGGAGGAATAGGAGGTGCCACGGGGCAGATGGGTAGAATGCAGGGGCTTCTGTGGTCAAGGGCTGAAAGCAGTTCTGATGCGGCCCTGACCTGTGCCTTGTTCCCCAGGCTTCCCAGCACTCATTAAAGCTGAAGAGTTTCAGGTTGTGAGGGGACAGACATTCTCTGTGAGATGCCAGTACACGCTGAGGAGAGGCGCCTATGAGAGAAAAACCTTGTGTAAGGAGGTGTCAACAATATGGTGCACCAACTTAATCTCCAGCTCCAAGCCTGGAACCTTGTTTCAGACCTCTAGATTTGTAATATGGGACAGCCCTAGTGCTGGCTTCTTCACTGTCACCATGAAGGATTTGAGGGAGGAAGATTCAGGATACTACCAGTGTAAAACCTCCCCTACTTCCGGACACTCTGCGTCCAGGGCCAGACGGTTCTGTCTGGTGGTGTCTTCAGGTAAACCCTTTCCCTGTGAGCCTCAGCGGGAACTCCTCTCGCTGATAAAGGAGGCCAGGCCCCCTGAGTCCTAAGAGGGTTTGTTAGGGCATGTTTGTTCCTGAGAGACCTATATATGTGCACATATGTGTGCATGGTCAGTTTCACCAAAGGCTGGTAGTTCAAATCCACCAGTGACCCTCTTGTAAAAAATATGTTGTTGTTGTTGATTGCCTTTGAGTCAAGCATGACCCATAGAGATCCTATGAACAAAAGGCCTTTCTATAACTATCAGCATTTATCAAAGTTCATAGAGTCTGCAGAGGTATGTTGTTTAGGAAGTGATTGCCACTCTTGCTTCTTGATGGAGGGCCATTATGAGTTTGCCTTGATTCAATGGCTGTGGGTTTGGTTTTATTTTGGGGACCTTGCTCATATTGGAGTGGGTTAAGAGTTGGACTGCTAACTGAAAGGTCTCTGGTTTGAACCCACCAACAGGAAAACAATGATGCAAGTCCACTTCAGTTAAGATTAATAGCTTCAAACATCCCGTGGGACAGTTCCACTCAGTCCTGGAAGGGAGCCATGAGTCAGGATCCACTTGATGGTAGTGGATTTGGGCACAGGGATTGTTTCTGGTCACTATGCTGGGCAGGCACTCTGAGAGCATTGCTGTGGGGCAAAATCATGTCCCCAGGTCCCTTCTGGGGCAGCTCCAGGAACTGGTGCTCCCTGCTCTGAGCTCACCCTGTGGCCTCTCCCAGCCTTCAGCTCCCCTCTTCCCCCTCTCCTCTTGGATCCTAGCTTGGTGTTCCATTCTGCCCAAGGGCTCTAGCAGCCCTCAATCCTCTCACAGTCTGGGAGCGGATCCCCTTTCTTGCCCATCTACCATCCCTCCCTACAGCAGCCATTATCTTTTTTTTTTTAATCCTTAATAGCACCAATCAAGAATTCCCTCTCACCTTCACCAAGGATTCTGAGCACAGGTACGTCTGGGGTCTTACTGGGAAGGTGGGACAGGAGAGGGGGGATAGCAAACAGATAGATCACTAAGTCTCAAAACAAGAAGGACCCCAGAAAGTAATTTCCTCCCACCTGCTGAGGGACTGGGGTTTACAAAGCAGCCTCCACGGCCAGCTCTAGAACCAGGAAAGGCAGGATCAACAGCTCTTAAAAGTGCCCATGGAGTTCCAAGCCTGCAGATGCCACGCTCTCTACTCTCCACCATCATGCCAATGTTTGTGGTCAACACGAATGTGCCCCGCGCATCCGTGCTCGACAGGCTGCTCTCTGAGGAAGCCACCAGCAAACCGTCCCAGTACATCGCAGTGCAAGTGGTCCCAGACCAGCTCATGGCTTTCGGTGGCTCAAGCGACCCTTGTGCACTCTGCAGCCTGCACAGAATCGGCAAGATCGGTGGCACGCAGAACTGGACCTACACCAAGCTGCTGTGCGGTCTGCTTTCCCAGTGGCTGCACATCAGCCCTGACAGAGTCTACATCAACTACTGTGACATGAATGCAGCCAACGTGGGCTGGAACAGCTCCACTTTTGCCTGAAGGCCACACTCACCTGCCTTGGTCTGTAGTGGCCCTGTCCTTCAGGTCCCAATCCAGCCCACCTCCCTGTCAGGAGAAATAAATGGTTTAGAGACAAAAAAAAAAAAAGTGCCCATGGGAGGCCTCTCCACCAAACAGCCTTTTGTTGTTACTAGGTAACACTGAAGCAGTTACCCATGACAACCCTATCTGTTGACCCTAGAATGAGACGTTGCCCAGGCCTTTATCCTCCCCACAGTCTTTGCTGTTTGAGCCCATTGTTGAGCCTCTCTGTCAGTCCTTCTTGTTGAGGGTCTTCCTCTTGTTTGCTGACCGTCTACTTTATCAAGTGTGACCATCCTCAACTTTACGGTGCCTCATGGCCTCTCTTGATAACACCCCCAAACATGTGAGAGAAAGTCTCACCATACTGGCTTCTACGGATCATTCTGACTGCCCTTCTTCCAAAGACAGATGTGTTTGTCCTTCCCACAGTCCACCAAAAAGATCAAAGACAAGAGGTGCTTAAAGATCATGGCCATTTCCATACTGGGGGACAAAGAAGCCTGGTCCAACAATAAGTAAATGGTTTGAAAGAATGTGGGCCTCCTGACACCTGTGCCAGGCCTCCTGAGCTCAGTGCCACCTCCCAGGCCACCACTATGGAGTTTCTATCACAGGTCTGTCTAGTTCAGAGTCAGGGGAGTCCAGGATTCAGTTTTCACCTCCTAGCCTGTTTTCTCTTCCTGGGTCAATGAACACAGGGGCCCCCCAGCCAGCTCACCTCTCTTATTCTGTCTGTCATGTTGGCAGGGACCGATGAATGTTGCCTCCCCACTAAGCAGGTCCTTTCTATCACACTAGTAGCTTCTACCAGGAGGCCCTGTGACCAGGTGTCAGCAAAGACCCCAAGCAGTAATGTTCCCATGGAAGGAGCCAGCAAAGCCTCTGGGCCTTCCTCTGTCACCACTGTCCATTCACAGTGAGTCTGGGTGAGACCCCATCCATATGGGCCTGCCTCAGGACTACAGTGAAGGCTATCAGCCCAGCCCTGTCCCTGCCCCTTCTCCTCCCTCCAGGCAACAACACCTCCCCGTCAGCTCCAGCCCTGCAGCCTTCAGCGCCCTGATCCCCATAATGTGTGGACTCCTTATGACCAAGAGCCTGGTGGTGGCTGCCCTGTTTGTCCTGTAAGTAGGTTGAGGTTGGAAATGAGGTAAAACAAATGGAGTAGAACAAACGAGGGGAAATGATATCTGGCAATATTCTCCAAGTGAAATCCTCATTGACACTGAAGGGCCACTTTTGTGGCAAACTGTTGTCAGCCACGTCCACCCTCAGGCACTGGGTTCCCTGATTTAAGGACAGAGCCTCCGGCCTCCTCATTAACTAGAATGAAAACTCTCTTTGTTGTCTTTGTTCCTCTGTCAACTGTCATGTATCCCTTCTTTTCCCTTTCCATCCTTCCTCCCTATACCCCTCTTCTTCCTTTTTCTTTTCTTTCTTATTTTTCCTCCTCCTCTCTCTCCTCCTTCCCTCCTTCTCTCTTTCCCCCTCCTTCCTTCCTCCTCTCTCCCATCCCCCCTCCATTAGTTATGCTGACCTGCACAACCAGAAGGCCCCTCCCATTGCCCGTCCCTCTGGGAATACCTGAGTCCAAGGACTTCCTACAGGTCTCATCCCAAGGCTCTACCTCACCCTGAATCTTGAGGGAGAGAAGGTAGGGACAAGAGAAATTGGGGTTACAAGCTCTGCGAAGAAGGGAACACCAAGGAAACATTTTAGCAAGGCTCCGTGAAAGGTAAAGGGACAAGGTAAGCGTTGAGGAGGACCCAGACACAAGCTCGGGTCAGGCCAGAAGCAGAAGCTAAAGAGGGGGCAGGCTGCGGGGAGAGGGAGATGAGGTCAAAGACTAGACTGAAGTCACTCCACGTGTGCTTTCTTCCTTCTCACATCTCAGAGCCTGGAGGAAACAATGTGTACAACACAAATGGAGGGCGCTGATGCACCCAGCCCAGCCCAGCCCATGGACCTGTAAGCGCATCCCACTGATCCACAAGACTCAAGATGAATGACTTGTCTCCCCTGGACCCCAACTTCAAGGAGCTCCTCCCTGACCTCCAAATTTTACCTTATCTGCAAAGAAAAAGTCAAAGCCTCTCAGATCTTGACCGAATGCCCTTAGCTACAGGCCTCAGTCCAGAGCTGAGGATTTCCCAGCCAAGTCCCCTCTTGGGGTCCAGATCTACCTCCAGCTCATGCTCAGTTTGCATCTGGGTCAGCCTCATTGAATTCTGGGTGTCAAAGCCTAAAGCAGCATGTTTCCACCAAATAGTGCCACTGTTATCACATCTGTGTTCTCTGTAGTTTTCACCCTCTGCCTCAACTCAGCCGGACACCCACGTCACCTCCAGCCTTTCCCTGAAACTCTGTCTCACCTTGTCCAGTCATACTCTGCCAAGATTGCTGTGTTTTGCATCTCTCTATTGCTTCAGCTGCCTCCCCACCTCCCTTATCACATCTCCATACCACATGTGCCTGGACCCAGAGAACTGTCACAGTCATCTAACTGATCCCGTGCCCTTAGTCTGCACCATCTACAGATGACAGTGAGTTTGTTCTAATGTTATCCCTTCTCTGCAACACCTCTATGTATTTCACTGCAAGAGAAGAGAGGTTAAGTATCATTATTGGTGCCCATAGCCTTCTAAGGCCAGCAATCTCTTGTCACCATGTCATTGTGTCATTGCTGTCCTTCCAATGGCAAGGGGGCTTCAGGCTCTATAAAGAATAATCCTTTTTTTTGTGCACAAGATGAGCAGAAAAGCACATTAGCACAGTCACAGCTGGGATGGCACTGTCACCCTAGAGTTCTTGCTTTCTGATGCTCTTTCTGAAAAAAAAAAAAATTTTATTGGTTTGTACACAATAGTTTGTTTACATTGCATTTCAATTCATATACATTATGTTTGGTTGTGGTTTTTTGGTGTGTGTTCTTTTTCATTTTCATCCCTTCCCTACACCCACCAAACTGACACTCTAATTATCCTGATGTTGCGCCTTCTTCTGGCATGAGCACCCAAATTTACTGTCTTTTCTAGCCCTTAACTCTTTTTGTTAATTCATAATTTCTGAGAAAGTCCCTTAACATTACATTCTAAATCTTCTATTCAAATATTTGCAAATTATCGTCTCATATTTTTAAGTTTCCAAGCAGTCCATTAGAGATCTGTGGAATGTTCATCTTTATGCCATGCGTGTTTTCTTTGGGAATGTGATATTTTCTCTGGCAATATTAAAGTTTTACAATTTCCAAGAGTTTGGATTTTTTTTTCTCCCCTCAGTTTTTTCTATTTTTTGTTTCCTCCAAGTGACTTTTCTAGCCTTTGTTGTTTTTTTCATTCACTGGCCTCTGTCTTTCCTGAAGCTTTCTGGGGAGTTCTCCTTCTTCTTGGTAGCCTGTTCATATTGAAGAGCAAGGTCCTCTAGAATTCTCCAAGCAGACATTCTGTGTGGACTGTGGAAGCTCGCAGAGTCTCTGGACTGATCAGGGAGGAACATGGAATTTTGTGGGTAGGCCATTAGTTCTCAGCATCACATCACTCTTCCTCTCTGCTCAATTGCTCCAGAAAGTGTTCTTTACACTGTTGTTGAGGTATCTGCCTGAATGAAAGGATTCTGGACACCAACTATGAGAAAGCAAAGGAACGCCACTGTTCAGCATAGTCATTTTCACTCAGTCCTCTGTTGCTGTAGATTCTCCTACTGTGGATGCCAGATGCCCTGAATGGAGCTTCAAGATGGTTCACAATCTTTATGGACTTAGGTCCCTGGGTGATGCAAGCTTTAAGTCCTGGGATAACTGAAAGGTTGGTAATTGGGACAGATTCAGTAGCACTAAGGAAGGTAGGTGTGATAGTTTACTCCTTACTTCTATAAAGCTTACAGACAAGAAAACCCTGTGGAACAGAGCAGTTCTACTCTGTAACATATGGGTTATTGTTGTTGTTGAAGACATTGGATGAGATAGACAGATAGATAGATAGATAGATAGACAGACAGACAGACAGACAGACAACTGTGTGTCTAGGGTAATTGATAACTGTGCTTCCTCTTTGAGAAAATACCAAAATGCCTTCCAGAGTTATTGTACCATTTACAATGCCACCAACAGTGACTGGGGTAATTGGGGCTGGTGTTTCAGAGACAGTGAGCTTAGCTCAGGATAGGACAGAGTTCAGAGCTATTGTACATAGGGTGTATAGGGTGGCTATGAGTCGCAGGTGACTCAGTAACAACAATAACATGATTTTTCCTAACCATTGTTTGACTTGCTATGTAGATGGGCAGGAATATGCCAATGGGGCATATTCGCCTATCCACAAGGGAGTTGGCTATCTATGATTCCAAAGAGGATTGGCTATTACCAACAACCTACAAGGGGATTAGCTTGTCTCGCCATTGAATTGAGCAAGCCAGGAGTGAGAGGCAGACAGATCTTCTGGTGCCGTTAAAGAGACAACAAGAGAATGTAGGATGCCATTCTTGCTCCAGCTACACTTACAGCAGCAACACCGATGACTGAACTGAAGATCTGATATGAGATGTGACCTTGGGTGGGTGGGTGAGTGGAGTGGATCTTGGGGAGGGTGGTGGAGAACAAATATTGGCAGGACTAAGAATTTTATTGGACAACTACAGGTGGGAATCCAATATTAGCAGGAATAAGAACTTGGGAACACTGGTCTGAAGCTATGAGGCTTGAGGCTTAGGTGCCTACATGCATACTTTGGGAGCTGTCTTAACTGTTTTATGTTATTAATCTGTATTTAAACTTCCCCAGTTCAATTCTGTGTGGTCTCTGAAATATCACATCAGATTTGGGGCCCAAAAAAGCAGTAAGATTGATGTTGAGATGGATAGAAAGAGGTATGGGAGCGTGAGGGACATGTCTGACCTCATGGGAATTGGTTTTGTGTTACTGATACTGTTGACGGGGACAGTTCCCCTTTGTGAAGTTGGTAAAGATAAAATATGATCATCCCCATGTGGCCCTTGATCTTTTTGCCATGAGGTTGGATCTGGATAAGACAGGCTGTAATTGTGGTAATGCATGGATTACTGAGTCAGCTCAACTCAACAACAGCCCTTTGTTTGGAGAGACAGGAGACTGTGAATAAGAAAAATACTTCTGAGAAACAAAAATTAGGTTGGAGGCATAGCACTCCCTGACCTCAAAACCTACTACACAGCAGTGGTAACCAAAACAGAATGGTACTAGTACAATGACTGGCACATAGACCAATGGAACAGAATTGAGGACCCAGAAATAGACCCAGATATGGTCAACTGATATTTGACAAGGAAATCAAAGATATCAAAAGAGGAAATGAAAACCTCTTCAACAAATGGTGCTGGCAAAACTGCACTTCCACCTGCAGAAAGCTGAAACAGGATCCGCATCTCACATATACAAAAATCAACTCAAGGAGCATCAGAGACCTGGGAGTAAAGCCCAAACCCATAAAGTTCATAAGAGACAAACTAGGATCAAGCTTAGAAGCGCTAGTCCAAGGTATAAAGATACTGCCAAATAACAATCAGAAATGTACAATCTAAAGAGGATAAACTTGTTGCATGGGACCTTCTAAAGATTAACTCTCTATGCACATCAAAAACTTTTTTTCACCCGACAGGGTGAAAAGAAGACCTACAAACTGGGAACAAACATTTGGTAATACCATGTCAGACAAGAGTCTTATAACAAAAGTTTACAGAATACTTCTGGGCCTCCACAAGAAAAAGACTGATAACCCAATTACAAAACTGGCAAAAGACATAGAAAGAATTTTCACAGAGGAAGTTATTTGAATAGCAAACAGATACATGAAGAAATGCTACAAATCACTGGCAATAAGAGAGATGCAAATCAAAACCACAATGAAAATTGCCATCTTCACTCCAGTAAGAGTGGCAAAGGTTAACAGGGCAGCAGGTAATAGTTGTTGGAGAGGATGTGGCAAGAAAGGAACCTTATACATTGTTGGTGGGACTATAAAATGGTGCAACCATTCTTGAAGGCAATTTGGCACTTCCTCAAAAAGCTGAACATAGAAATTCCATATGACCCAGCTGTTCCACTACTTGGAATATACCCTGAGAATATGAGACTGAGGCACAAACTGAGATTTGTACACCAATATTCATAGCAGCATTATTCACCATAGCAAGAACATGAAAACAGCCCAAATGTCCAACCACAAACTAATGGATTGAGAAATTATGGTACATTCACACAGTGGAATACTATGCAGTATGCAGGAGCAATAACTTTGTAAATTATTACCTAACTTGGGAGGAACCGGAGAGCATTATACTGAGTGAACTAACTCAGTCCCACAAGGACAAATATTGTATAAAACCATTATTGTAGGAGGAGTATAAGGATCCAGGATGGGTGGGAAAAGCTGGAAGCAGAGGGACGTGGATGTACAGCGGGGAGAGGGAATTAATCATTGGATTGTACAATTTGATGGGGGGGGGTGAGGGAAATTGAAAGAATTTGTTCAAATTTGTATTAGAATTTTATAAATAAACTAGTGTGGGGAAAACCAACAGCCCTTTGTTTTATTTTTAGTGTTTGTTCTGGTTGGTTAGAAACTCATCTTGAGTTCTCTGTAGGGTGGTTTGTGAGAGGAGAGAAAAAAGGATGTGGACAGCTGACCAATTTTTAGTGTTAGGGGAGACAGAATTCTAGAGTTTGCTTCTTGAAGAGACATTCAACCTAGTTTTGAGTTTCTAGCCCCACTTCTACTCTGCCTTCAGAAGTCCATACCTTCAAGGGCTGAGCCTTTTAGGAGTTCTGTGTCAGGTTCTGAGGCTTGCTCTCTCTGTTTCCCAGCCCCACTTCCCACAAAGCACCCTGCTTTCTCTGGTCTGTTGAGTTGCCTAATGCAGCCTTAATTTTTTTTCTTTTCTTGGTTTCTATATATCTGTTTATCTCATATAAGTGTGCTCACACAGTATCTGTCCTCGTGGTTAATTATTTCACTCCACATGGTGTTTAGAAGATTCA